TTTCATCGCAAATGTATTCTTTTTGGCTTCTAAACGTGAAAATGCCGAATCGAATCTTCTAAATCATAACTCAGTTTCATATTCTCCCATCTTGCACTTTATCTCCCATTCAGAACCTATGGAGCTGAAAGACGAGCAATTTTTTGGCTTATAAATCCGATCCCTCGTCTCGCTATTCGTGATTCACGATATTGATGCAGATGTATCTTGGGGTATTGCTCAGATATTCGAGCTCCAAGATGGTGCCTTGAGGGTCCAGTTAGAGACGCTGCTTATTTATCTCGAATAGTTCTGTTGTGTCATTGAAAGAACGGAGAGGTTAATAACTAAAATTCTATCAGTTTTGTGTAAGTAATGAAAAGAGATATGAGTTTATGTGTTAGCTATGTTTAAGGGATAAGTAAACTGATATATCGATGAACTGAACATTTCATCGTCTAATTTCTTAGGAGTTATTGACAAACGGAAGCGTTTTTAAAAATATATCTCAAACTAAAGCTCTAAAAGTATTTTTTACAGAAGTGTTTCTCTCTCGGTGTTCTTAGATGTTTTGAGAAATACACATGATGATATTTGTATTTTGGAAATTTATAATATGAACTAAGGATTCACATGTTCAAAAGGATTACTAGCATAAAATAATTTAATGACAATAATAAAATGACCTAATACCATAGAAAAGTAAAGAAATTTCTCTTTTGAAGTTATTCGAATGTTCTGGAACTTGCTTAACGGGGAAAATTTCTGTTTTTAGAAAATTCTCAAAACAGAAATCATTATGTAAACATCGGCTAACCTAGAAAAAGTCAATCAATTATAAATAAGAGTTTCATTTTATAGTGAAAGATCAGTATTGTTCCGGTGATTTATAGTTTCATTAGTACCTACAACCTGTGGAGGATTCTAGGCAGCTGACCCCCCCTAAAATAAAATTTAAAAAATTATCGATTTTAACTCATTTTTTAAAATTTTGACTTAAAACTATTATTTTACAATTTCTTCCCCATTATTCAATCTTTGATACTTGAAACTGAGGGTAATTTTACATAAATAGCATTAAATGTTAAATGTATTATGCAAATGTATGGGGGGGGGGGGACGGGTTCAGATTTAAGGTTTTGGCGGTTCAAAAAAAAAAAAAAAAAAGAATTTCTTTAACATTAAGGCATTAAGAACAATAATGTTGAGTAAATAATCTTGTAAAACTTATAGCTTAAAAATTTAAAAAAATATACGAGTTATAAAGTTTTAATTTTAAAACTTATTAACTCAGGTGTAAAACGTAAGAAAATTAAGTGTTTTTTGAAAAAGATATTAGTCTCTGGTTTCAAAAGGTAATAATATATAAAAATGTCTTAACCACAGATCAATACCGATATATGAACTGCTTGGAAATGGATAACAGAAAGGCACAACTGTTTCATTATATTTTATAAATAGAAATAAATTTGAAAAACGAAACATTTTACGGTCTTCACTTTTTAGAAAGTTACCTTAAAAAATTTGTCCCATGATCCGAAAAAGATGGGTATCATAACATGATTTATTATACATTATAAATTGATATATTTTCAGGTGATTATTTTTTTCAATACTAAAATATATTAAAAAAATTGTACTTATTGTAAGTTTCTGTTACTTAAATGTAAGTTATTTTATTTGAAGTTACTTAAGTTTCTGTTTTACTTCAAGTTTTAAAAGATATTTCGACAAAATAAAATATATGTACGTTTTGCCTTTAACAGAACTTTAACATTTAATAAAATTCTCCTGGTTGATAGTAAGAAAAGTGGACAAAATTTACAGTTTTGAATAAATGATTTGAGTACTCGATTGCCATTGAAAATTATATTTTTACTGAAAATTTAAATGGGTTAGGATCAAGAAACAGAATTTGTATTTCGGCAAGGTTAGGAATAGGTATCTTTAAGGAGAGGAAAGTAGACATATTTATAAAATTTCTCTATCGCATAAAAGTCTTTAATTATTTTACTGAATACTCTTTAAACTATTACACATAACTTTAATCTGAGATTTTGATTATGATGCCTAATTGTTTCTTAAAAAAATAATTATTTGCTTATGTATGTGTTTTTTCACAAAACTAAAAAATTTTATGATATTTAATGCTATAAGTTTGAATAATTTTTTTTTTTTGAAAAATCCCCGTGACAACAGTGTAGTAGAATGTAATTATGTATTACTTAAAGTTATAAGCTGGAATGGTTGAGAAAAAAGTCTTCCTTACATCATAAATAATACAATTTTGAGAAAAAGTTATTTTAAAAAGAATTTTAGTCGTATTTAGTGCATATCAGCATCATAACCTAAATTCCTTGTTTTTTCAATAAATTGTTCACTAATATATACTTATTTTAACTCTTACCATTACTTAATATTATAAAGTTATAATATTTAATATCTCTCTTGATTAGCTTGGCCATTACTAGGGGTGTAAAAACCAGGAGATATCCCTAATGTTGAAAGAAATGGCTCTTAGGGGATGTTCCTTTTATTATAAGAGGCATTAGTTTTTCTCTCATTCCAGTTTTTAAAGTTCCAATTCCACAAAAACCTTTTTCCCTCGACCAGATTATGTTTCTTACACTTTCGTTGCAATTTTATATCTTTCCATGTAAGCATTCGACACATGATCAGCATGCAAAAAAAGCATATCCAAGTATTTGTTACTATGTTTATACACTTCCATTGGATTTAATTTCTTTTCTTAAAAGAAAATGAAATCTGCCATTGTTCTTTTTCTTAGAAATTGGATTGCTGAATCTTAACTTTGTTTATAAGAAATAGAAATGTTTACAAACTGAAACTCTCTACTATAGATATAGCAAAAGCTTCAAATATTAGCAAGAACTAAAGCTAACAAAGAACTTTTCAGAAGCTTGAAAACAATGAATTTCAAATAAAAAGCAAGCAATAAACTCGCTTCATTTCTACTACTACCAACCTACCAAAGTATTTCAAATATAAATTTAAAAAAATGCGAAATTGTGCGGCTCATAATGCAGAGAAAAGTTTGTTTTGGTAAAAATTGGCGTTTAATTTATACCAACAGGGGGAAGATATTTTCAAAAAAGATAAAAAAGTACGTCTGTTATAGAATAACATTATCATAATTAATTGATGAACATCATCAATAATCTTGACATCATTGGAAGCACGAAAGTTCATATTTTATAACAATGCAATAATTGAAAAATGTGTTTTCTGGTTGTAATTCCTGAGCTCACTCTTGTAATTCAATCACTCTTTAACTTCCATTTGTTGATCCTAAGATTCTGAGAATTCATGTAGTAAAAGTCCTTATAATAAGTTTTCAATTTGAAGTTGAGTTGATTTTTTTATTTTCAATTTCATTTTCTTTAAAATAAGAATCATGTTATTTCTTTCTTTCGTTTTGTTACATTCTCCAAAACAAGTCCCATTTAAGAAAATCCAATCTGTTTTTTTTATCATTGAATTATTCTTCAAAACATCAATTATCGTAAGCCGAATAACATTTTTAGAGTATTTCATGAAAATTTCTGGAAGCAAATGATATAGAACGAAATCAAGGCTGGATATCAAATTGTATCTAATCTGTGTTATTTTAAGTAGAGAATTAAATATCCTTTGTGTGTGTGATGTGATGGGGAAATATTTCTTTACAAGAGCTTAGCTATGTTAGGGACACACGGTAAACAAATTTCTTGAGCTTACAAAAGAACTTTCTAAAATTATTTAGAACATTTATATAAATAGAAAAATAAAGTTTCAATGTTAAGAAACTCATATATTTCCGTAAAAAAGAATTTCATTTCATTTTTTAAGTTTTTACTCTTCAACAGTCCTTTAAATTTTCCGAAGAAAATTCGTACACCATTTCTTGAACAAATTCTTTCAAGAATCCCATTCATGAAATCTTCATAGACCGTGATTAACTATTACATTGGAAGATTCTTTTCAACATCTATTCTTCTAAAAGAATTAAAACAAATGGGCATCAATTGTATCCGAAATGCCTTTCAAAGAAGTATTGAGTGTCAGTAGACTTAATTGCTTTGCGGATAAAGTCAGTCCTGTAGTGGCGACATTAAGTGAGACGTCCTTTTGCGTGCTGACGTTAAGTAAAACATCCTGTTTCGTTACATTAAGCGTTGACATACAGTAAACAGTTCTGTCTTTTTATTAAGGAGAAGAGACGAAGACAAAAATTAGGAAACTTTTTTTTTGAGAAAAAACTCCCTTATTTTTATAACATCAGTGGGAAAAAAATTTACTTTATTGATTTTAAAAACAAATGTTCACGTTAATAGTGTGCTAAAAAGTGATAAGAACGAAGGGTGATATTAGAAACTATTTTTCCACTGCCGATTTTAATTTTTAAAGGAATTATTTTTTTTTAAATTCACTATATCTAGCGATTAAATTGTTTAAACATTATTTTGATTTTTTGTTCAAAAACTAAAACATATGATTTTCTTCTGGTTTTTATATTTCCATTGTACTTTCCTTCCAATAATTAAAAAATATCCAAACCACACTTAAAATCCTTAATAAAGATTAAATGCGTATCATATTGTGTAAATTATTGAAACATTAATAGCTTGTTAAGTAATTAAATGTCAAAATTAAAAGGATATTTATTTTTAATAATACTAAAAAAAATATATAATGAGATTACCTAACCTTTTGAATAATATTAAAATTTTACTTTTCGGTTATTTTTAAACTTCAATTTAACAAGAAGTTTTTTGTTGTAATAAATACAACCTCCCACAGGCAGTTTTTAACTGTACATATTTCTGATTGTGGTTCTTCAATTCAGTTCAGTTCATATTCGTTCATTCATGTCTTTCAATTCATATTCATATTCATATTATTACGATGTTAATCCACTTTTTCAAATATTAATTCATTAATTCTATTTAATTAATTAATAAATATTAACAAACGAGAATAATTGTCCAACATCATATATAAAACGGAAAATCGCTTTTTGTGTCCCTGTAGCGCAATGGATAGCGCTGTTGGACTTCTAATCCATAGGTCGTGGTGCGACATAGCCATCCTGTGATGACTATGTCTTTCCGGATCCGCGTAAGCTAGAGGTGTGGGATTATCAAAATGATGAGACATATTGGTTCTTAATACAACTTTTATTAAGAATAACTTATATTACTTAATTCTAATTGACAACTTTCTTTAAAGTGAGAGTTAACACCCAATTAAACCTTGTATTCAAGTCAGATCACGCAACTAGATCATTTATCTTAATTATAATAAATAAACCGATTCATCTAACTTCCTATACAAAATATTACCTTTTGCAGATCTCCTTCCATCAGTGATTGAGTGATATCTATAATGCAACTGAATATGCGAGGTTTCCAACTTCTTTATAATGAACGAATCTTTCTTCCAAAACTATAGGACATCTAACTCTTGATCAGAATGATTCCACACTAAGTTATCTCTAAACTTGCCGCCATTTATCATCAAAGCTTCTATCCTTTTAAAGTATATCTCATTTACATATTATATTCGTTTGTCTTCTTGGTATTGGGTTGGAAAGGTTTTGCCATTAATCGTGGCCGTCAAAGAACATAGGAGTTATGTTAGCAGAAGGACGCGAGAGACGTCACAACCCCCTCCAAGAAGAAAAACGTGATTTACTTAAGGGTTCTCAATGCCCTTAATAAATTACGTGTCTAAATCTCTATTTCTGAATTTCTTCGCTTTCTGAGTTTTACTTAAATTTTAATCTTAAATCCTCATTTTAACTTTTATAATTTCCAATATTTATCTTGACTTTAATTTTCATTACTCATCTTAGAATTAAATTTATATTCAATTTAAATTTAAATTTAAACTCGTGACAATAAATTTTACTCCATTAACTAGGCCAACATTAATAATTACTGTTTAATTCATGCCCACTCTCACTTTTAACATTTATACTTAAAGTAACTATACACTTATATTTTCTAAAAAAAAATTTTTCTGGGTGCGCAGACCCAAACTTTGCATCTTTATCATCACTGCCTATGGAGCTGGATTTTCCGCTCCATTTCTTGTTGAAGTTATTTATCATAATTTTCAGGGTCTGTCTCCCTGAAATGAAAACTTTCTGAGTCATTGTTTCCAATCTATGTTTACATAATATCAATTAATTTCACAATTTTTATTCATTATATATTATTTGTATATCACAATAAATTTTCATCTCCATCCCCCACATCTGGTTCCAAAAAACTCCCAACGAGCCGTGCAGCGCCGTTATTATTATTGTTAGTGCCCTGACTACGCCGCGTTTCCCTGAACCAGATGCCTCATAATACGTAACAATACAACAACATATATATATACACATATTATACAATTACAAACATTTTTCAATAAACTATTATAACAAATAACCAAAGGAATTTTCGCATCTCACGAAGTCATACATCGAAG